CACCTATGTGACTTCAGTTTTTCTTACATTATAGTTTTGGACTCAATTTCTTGAATGCCTTTTTCTAAATCTTTCTGGTTTTTGTTGTTTTTAGGAATTAAACAGATTACTTTGTTAATTAATTTGCTAATTTGCTGTTAAGATTATGCTGTTTACTCTTAATTTGTGGTAATTTTCAAATGAGTTGGGAAGCAGTTATGCCAGTTGAAAATGTTCAGAGATTTTTATTTCCACCTTTATCTCCCAAAGAGTTCTCTGGATTTTGGGCTGTCTTGCATTGCTGTGGGAATAGTTGCTTTAATTTTCTTTCAAGATTTTTATTTTAGATCCTGGAAACCTTTGCTTCTAAAAACATCACTAGGCAGTTCATTTTTTTATTAGACCCCTTTGTGTATTAATGAAAATAACTCTTACACATATATTATTAATATTTTATGTAGTATTGTTGAATTTTAATAGTGTTTTATATTTGTGAACATTTTAGGTTTTTATACAATCAATTTCCTTGATGTATGTTTGTTTGTTACTGAGGATTGAACTCAGGGGAACTTAACCATTAAGCCATATCCCCAGCACATTTTATATTTTATTTTGAGATAGGGTATTGCTAAGTTGCTTAGGGCCTCACTAAGTTGCTGAGGCTGTCTCTGACCTCCCAATCCTTCTGCCTCAGCCTCCCAGACTACTTACAGGCGTGTACTACCAGGCCTAGCTTCCTTGATGATTTTTTTGTGTGATATAATCAGTGTTATTTTGTTTTGTAAATTTTTTTTAAGTTGTTGATGGACCTTTGTTTTATTCATTTATTTATGTGGTGCTGAGAATTGAACCCAGTGCCTTAGACATGCTAGGTAAGCGCTCTACTACTGAGCCACAACCCAAGCCCATAATCAGTGTTTAAAAGAAGTAATATTAGAACTGGGGGTGTGGCTTAGTGGTAGAGCACTTTTAATATTTTTAAATTTTTTTTAAATATTTTTTTTTAGGTATAGATGGACATGATATCTCAGTTTCACCTTTTTTTTTTTTTTTTTTTTTTTTAAATGTGCTGAGGATCAAACCCAGTGCCTCACACATCTTACACATGCGAGGCAAGCGCTCAACAACTGAGCTACAATCCCAGCTCTGAATTTTTTTTTTTTTTACATTTAAAATTTTGATAAATCTGGTATATATTTTATCAGGTAGGTATTTTTGTTTTCCCTTTCATGTGCTGCTGTTAACTATTTTTCTTTTAGCAATTAAAATGCCTTTGTCATATATTGTTACATATACTAAAGTATGTTTTATTTGTTTCTCTATCTGGTGGCAGGTATTACTACATCTAGACTACTTCTAGGAATAAGGAATAATTTGACTTTTATTTTTCTTAAGCTAGAAATACTCAAAATAACCTTTCCATAGCTTTATTACTCTGTAGATACAGAATATAAACATCAGAATAATGAACTAAAATGAGTCTATTTTTTAAAATCAGATATAAAGATCATTACTAGAACCTAGAACCTCAGTTTCCCCTTCTCTATGTTAATCTTTAGGTCTTCTATTAAAAGATTTAAAATCTCCCATTTTATGCTTTCTTATTTTTCGTTATTTCAAGAGGCAGTTTATTGTAAGGTATTAAGAATATGGATGTAGGAACAGACCGCCAGAGGTCAGATTCCTGCATTGCTTTCTTTGGTGGCAGTGGGGATTGAACCCAGGGTGCTCTACCACTGAGCTACATCCCCAGCCCCTTAAAAAAAAGAAAAGAACAAGAAATGTGTGTGTGTGTGTGTGACATTTATTTATTTTAAATTTTGAGACAGGGGCCAGGTTGGCCTTGAATTTGTGATCCTCTTGCCTTAGCTTCTCTAGTGCCTGGGATTACAGGAAAGTGCCACAGTGCCTTGCCTAACATTTCTTAATTGTATGAGTTTGAGCATGTTATTTAACTTCGTATGCTTCAGTTTCCATGTCTGTAAAAGGACAGAATGACTGACTTATGAAAAGCACTGAGAACAGTCCTTGTCTCATATAAGACCTCTATAAGAATTAGGGGCTGGGATTGTGGCTTGGTGGTAGAGCACTTGCCTAGCACGTGTGAGGCCCTGGGTTCAATTCTCAACACCATGTATAAATAAATAAAATAAATGTCCATTGACAACTAAAATAATAATAATAATAATAATTAAGTGCAATTTAGTTGTTGAATCAAACCCAGGGCCTCATACATTCTAGGCAAGCTCTCCACCACTGAGCTATAACCCCAGTTCTAGTACGAGATTGTTATTAAAAAAAAAAAAAAAAAACCCTTTAGGTCATACATTGTATTAATTTGCACTTATTGGTTAAATTTGGTAAGGATGAAGCAATTAAACTTAAATAAAAAAATTATTATCCTCTTCCCACAATTTAAATGTGAACCCATTTTTACCTAGAAAATTTAAATTTCAGTATATAGAAATGTTGGTGCTTGTAATAGGGAATATTTTGAAACTAACTAAGGCAGCAATTATCCTAAATTCTATTTTCAAATCTCACTTAGTAGAATAGACCAATTTTCAGTCATCAAAGCGATATTGTAAGTCATAGAACACATAAAATTGAATTTATGTATTTTCAACTAGTGAATACAGGCAAAATGGTTATATAACTTGTTTTCATTTTTTCTGTCTTATAAAAGAAATTCTAAGCCTAAAGTTGGGTAATGATGAGTCAGTCATTTTGGTAAGAAGCTTAAGCTTTTTAACCTTAGTGTTTTTGGAATATGTATATTTATCTTTTTTAATATTTATTTTTTAGTTGTAGTTGAACACAATACCTCTGTTTCACTTACTTATTTTTATGTGGTGCTGAGGATCGAACCCAGGTGGGTCTTACACTGCAAGGCTATCACTGTACTGTTGAGCTACAACCCCGGCCCTTTTTTTTTTTTAAAGAATTTCTGTTTTAGTTGTAGGTGGACACAATACCTTTGATTTGTTTATTTTTTTATATGGTGCTGAGGATCGAACCCAGTGCCTCACACATGGTAGGCAAGCGCTCTACTACTGAGCCACAACCCCAGCCCCTGTATATTTATCTTGATAACTATATTTGTGGTTCTGCCCCAGATCAGAAGATTATCACATTATTTTCCTTGAGTTATTCTGTATTGGTTAATAAGAAAATATTACAATGATTGATTAATAGTTTTATGAAGCTTATTTTTCTGTAGCAGAAAACAGTAATCCCCCCAAATAGTAAATCTTTCCTCATGAAGTTTTTTAAGGTACCAGGGATTGAATTCAGGGGCACTTGACCACTGAGCCACATCCCCAGCCCCTTTTTGTATTTTATTTAGAGACAGGGTCTCACTGAGTTGCTTGGTGCCTCACCATTGCTGAGGCTGGCTTTGAACTCTTGATCCTCCTGTCTCAGCCTCCCGAGCTTCTGGGATTACAGGCATGTGCTACCGTGCCCTGCTCCTCATGAAGGTTTTAATGTTAATATAAATTATCTAACCATTATGTGAATTTAATCACATGATAATCTGTCCCTTCTTTCCTCCAGCAATTGTCATGGATTTTTTTTATAGCAGTCATTTTGAACTCTTTCTAAAGTCCCATGTTATTTATACAGCATATGTAAATTCAAAAGTATTTGTTACAGGGTCTGGAGGGTGTATTTGTCTCTTTTTGACCATGTGCATGTATTATTTGAGAGAAAAATTTTAACATATTTTTAGAAATATTCTTTAAAATAACAATTATGAAAAATCAATGTATAAATGAGTTGGACAGTTAGAAATCCTGCCATACTCCTAGGGTACTGGTGAAGATATCATGTCCAGAAGTAAACTAAGGTTCTTTAGATGGTTATAAGAACTTCTAGTGGAGCATATTGACAGCTGTGTTTTCTGGACACTGTCTTTACTATTATTTTATTTTATTTTTCTTGGGGATTGAACTCAGGGCCTTGTACAATGCTAGACACATGTTGTACCACTGAGTCACATCCCCAGCCCTGCCTCCCTTTTTTATAATTTAACTATCCAATTTTGATAAACCCAATTTGTCTCATTATCCCAGTATGGAACACCTAAAAAACCTTAATTGAGCAATAAATATTAACCTATTTTAATGCACTTGTATTGTTGAAATATTCACAGAATTAAAAACTTGAACTTGATGGATTAAGGAAAAAAGTTATGGTTTTAAGTTTCTTGAATAATGGGCTTATGTTTAATGTTATTATATTAAATATCATAATATATAATATTATATAAATTTGGGGAGGTATCAGGGATTGAACTCAGGGGTACTCAACCACTGAGCTGCATCCCCAGCCCTATTTTGTATTTATTTAGAGACAGGGTCTCACTGAGTTGTGTAGTGCCTCACCGTTGCTGAGGCTGGCTTTGAACTCATGATCCTCTTGCCTCTGCCTCCCAAGCCACTGGGATTTCAGGCGTGCGCCAATATAAAATATTATTATATGGCACTTAGTAATGCTTACCATGTTTTAGGTACCACTACAGTGTTTTGGTGTTTGTTTGTTTTTTAATGAGGTATTGGGGATTGAACTCAGGTTCTTGGGCAAGATAGAAAACTCCTGAACTACTTCCCTAGCCTGTGTTTTCCAAATATTAATTCTTTTTTAAAATTTATTTCATTTATTTTTTTAGTTGTAGATGGACACAATACCTTTATTTATTTATGCGGTGCTGAGGATCGAACCCAGTGCCTCACATGTGTGAGGCGAGCATTCTGCCATTGAGCTATAGCTTCAGCCCTCCAAATATTGATTCTTAACATTTACATAAAATTAGTGAACTGTTATTATATGAATTGTGGGAATTTGTTAAATTAGTATTCCATTTTTCTTATTGTAAGCATCTTTCCTGATAGTATTTTGTAAATATTGTGACTTCAAATCTTACTCATTAAAACCACAAATATTAACTTTATCAATATAATTAAAAGTAGAAATTAAAATTAAATTTAAAAATTTTAAATCATTTTTCATTTTTATTTCAGCTTTACCAACAGGGACGCTTATGTCAACTGGGCAGTGAATTTTGTGAGTTGGAAGTTTTTGCTAAAGTATTGAGAGCTTTGGATAAAAGGTAAATTTTTTTAAGACAATTACAGTAAAATATGCATAACATAAAATTTACCATTTAACAGTTTTTAAGTATACAATTCACTGACAATGAGTATATTCACCTTGTTGTACAACCATCAACGCTATCCATTTTCATAAAATTTTCGTCATCCCTAATGAAAACTCTGTTCCCATTAAATAACTCCCCATTCCCTTCTTTCAGCCCTGAAGCTGCCATTCTGCTTTCTGTCTATGTGAGTTTGCTGTTTCAGGTACCTCATATAAGTAGGATCCTGTATTTGTTCATTTGTTTTTGCCTTATTTGATTTAGCATATGTTTTTAAGGTTCATTTGTGTTGTAACATGTGTCAAAATTTCATTCCTTTTTGAAGTTTGATAATATCCCATTGTGTATATATGCCACAGTTTGTTTATCCATTCATCAATCAGCGGATATTTGTGTTGTTTCCACCTTTTAGCTAATATGGATAAAAATTCTGTGAACATGGGTGTAGAAATAAATCTTCAAATCCTTGCTTTTAGTGTCTTTGGTTAAGTATACCAAGTGGAATCACTGGATCACTGGTAGTTCTATTTTAAATATTTTGAGGAACATTCATGTTATTTACCATAAATTCATTTTAATTGGCTTTTTAAAATTAAGTCTATGTAATGAGAAAGTAGTTCTTAAATATGATCATATCAGAAAACTTAGAATGAAATAAAATTGCCTTTATAAATTGGGGAACCAGTAGGTTCATTTTGCTTGTTTTAGGTAAATTCATATAGTATGAATACTTTTATGTCTGCCTCTCCAACCACCCCAACATCATGTTTATGAGAATCACCTATTATTATAGTCTGTTCATTCTCATTGCTATATATGTACAATGTTCCATTATATGTCATTACTTATACTGTTGTTAGATATTTGAGCTGTTTGGTTTTTAGCTATTATAAACAGCTGCTACATTTATCCATTAACAAGTCTTTTGGTGAACATATATGCATATCTATTAGATATACCTGGAAGTACAATATGAAAGCATTTTAAGAGTTACAACTCAAGACCAGTTAGCATGATACAGAAAATGATCACAGTAATTGTACAATCCAAACAAGTTTGGTGACAGTGAGAATTTGTTCACTTGCCTCCATCTTCTTTGGAAAGTTAATACTCTGTAAATTTAGCTTTTGAGTTCAAGAATTTAGCTTCCTCATTATAGGGGCGTGAGTGGGGGGGGGTGCTGGGGATTAGAACCCAGGGCTTTGTGCATTTAAGGCAAGCACTCTACCAATTGAGCTATATCCCCAGCCCTCATTATAGGTATTATGAAGTAGGAGCCACAGAGAGATAATCTGGTCTTTGATTATACTTGCTGTTCTCTTCCATGAATTCGATTCAACTGCAATTTTTTTCACCTAACCTTTCTTCCTTTCTTTCTTTCTTTCTTCTATCACAACAGGAATTGAATCTAGGGGCACTTAACCACTGAGCCACATCCCAGCTCTTTTTATATTTTTTATTTAGAGACAGGGTCTCACTAAGTTTCTTAGGGTCTTGCTAAGTTGTTGAGGCTGGCCTTGAACTATCAGTTCTCCTGCTTCAGCCTCTTGAGCCACTGGGATTACAGTGCACCACCACTCCCAGCCCTAATCCACATTTCTAAAGAAATCAGAATATACTTTCACAAACTGGTTGCACTGGTGCACTCCTGTAATCCCAGATACTCAGAAGGCTGAGGTAAGGAGATTGCAAGCTTGAGGTCAGCCTCAACAATTTTGTGAGACTCCTTTTCAAAATAAAGAGCTGGCCGTGTAGCTCAGTGATAAAAGCACCCCTGGGTTCAGCCCTCAGTATCTCCACCCCCCCCTCAAAAAAAAAAAAAAAGAGAGAATATGTACTTTCACAAAACACTGCTGATCTTAAATGTGAATATTGCCAAATTATTTGATTTGTTCAGCAAGTTAACTAAATAAATATTTGTTGAATGCTTAGGATGTGCCAGGTACTGTTCTGTATGCTAAGATTACAGCAGTGGATAAGAACTACGAGGTTCCTTACTCATAATCTGTAATTTTTTTTAAATTTAGTTGGACACAATACCTTTTATTTTATTTATTTATTTTTTAATTTTTATTATTGGTTGTTCAAAACATTACATAGTTCTTGACATATCATATTTCATACATTTGATTTAAGTGGGTTATGAACTCCCATTTTTACCCCGTATACAGTTTGCAGAATCACATCGGTTACACATCCACTGTTTTACATATTGTCACACTAGTGTCTGATGTGTTCTGCTGCCTTTCCTATCCTCTACTATCCCCCCTCCCTCCCCTCCCCTCCCATTTTCTCTCTCTACCCCATCTACTGTAATTCATTTCTGCCCCTTGTTTTTTTTTTCCCTTTCCCCTCACTTCCTCTTGTATGTAATTTTGTATAACAATGAGGGTCTCCTTCCATTTCCATGCAGTTTCCCTTCTCTCTCCCTTTCCCTCCCACCTCTCGTCCCTGTTTAATATTAATCATCTTCTCATGCTCTTCCTCCCTGCTCTGTTCTTAGTTGTTCTCTTTATATCAAAGAAGACATTTGGCATTTGTTTTTTAGGGATTGGCTAGCTTCACTTAGCATAATCTGCTCTAATGCCATCCATTTCCCTGCAAATTCCATGATTTTGTCATTTTTTAGTGCAGAGTAATACTCCATTGTGTATAAATACCACATTTTTTTTTATCCATTCATCTATTGAAGGGCATCTAGGTTGGTTCCACAGTCTAGCTATTGTGAATTGTGCTGCTATGAACATCGACTTAGCAGTATCCTTGTAGTATGCTCTTTTTAGGTCTTTAGGGAATAGACCGAGAAGGGGAATAGCTGGGTCAAATGGTGGTTCCATTCCCAGCTTTCCCAGAAATCTCCATACTGCTTTCCAAATTGGCCTCACCAATTTGCAGTCCCACCAGCAATGTACAATTATTTATTTATTTTTATGTGGTGCTTAGGATTAAACCCAGGGTCTTACACGTGCTAGGCAAGTGCTCTGCCACTAAGCTACAGCTCCACAACTCCCATCACCACTATCTTAATTTTAGAACATACCATCATTCCAAAAGGAAAAAATGTTAAGTCACTCCCTATTTCCTCTTAACCTTAATCCCTAGCTGATCATTAATCTTTATGTCTTTATGGATTTGCCTATTCTAGATATTTCATGTAAATTGATCATATAATATGTGTCTTTTTGATTGACCCTTTCACTTAGTGTAATATTTTCAGGGATATTATTATTTATGTTGTTCCTACTTTCCCTTTTTTAGGACTGAATAATTTTGTGTTATATGGATAATACTCTTGTTTATCCAGTCTTCCATTGATGAATGGATGGGGTTGTTTATATCTTTTAGTTATTATGAATAATGCTGTGGTGAACCTTCATTGATAAGATTTTGTGGACATATTCTCATTTTGGGAGGTATATGCCTGGGGTGTATACATATGGTAACCCTATGTTTAGCTTTTTGAGGAGCTGCCGGACTTTATTAGAGCAGCTGCACCATTTTACGTTCCTATCGTTAATGTATAAGGGTTCCAGTTTTTCCACATCTTACCAATACTTAAAAAAAAAAAAAAGTTATGACCTTTTTCTTGGATGGGAAGTGGTTTCTCATTGTGATTTTGATTTACATTTCCATTGTCACTAATGATATTAAGTATCTTATGTTTATTGACTGTGGATAGATCTTTGGAGAAATATCTGTTCAAATCCATTGCCCATTTTTAATTGAGGTCTTTTTTTTTTTTTTTTTAACTGGAGATTAAACTCAGGGGCTTTACTATTGAGCTATATTTATATTCCCCAGTCCTTTATTTTTATTTTTTATAATTTGTGACTGGGTTTTCTAAGTTGCTGAGGTTCGCCTTGAACTTGCAATCTTCCTGCCTTCGTCTCCCAGGTCACTGAGATCATAGGCATACACTGGTGTACCTGGTGATGGGCTAAATTTTTAATTTACTATAGCTTCATAATTCATAAGGCAAAATGCTTTCTATCTCATTTTATCTTGGAAAATAATGATACTAATATTAATAGAGAAAAGCAACTAGCTTTCTAAAAGGAAAGAAATAAGATTCCTCTATTAAATGTTTTTTTCTTTTTCAGACATTTGCTTCATCATTGTTTTCAGGCTTTGATGGATCATGGTGTTAAAGTTGCTTCAGTCTTGGCCTACTCATTTAGTAGACGGTGCTCTTACATAGCAGAATCTGATGCTGCAGTAAAGGAAAAAGCCATTCAGGTTGGCTTTGTTTTAGGTAAGTAATACTATTAGTAGGGGAGAGTTTTATCCTATTGTGAACTCATAGTAAACCCAACAATAAAGGATTTCTCCAGGAATTTCCCAAAGTCTATATGGGGAAGTTATGAGGAAAATATCAGAAGAATTAGGTGTAATTTATTGGATATTAATGCTGTGCTAAGCACTACACTAGGTATTTAAATGGCATTATCCTAAATTCTCATGACGTTCCAGTGAAGTAATGATATTTTTTTAAAAAAATTTTTTGTAGTTGTAGATGGACTAAATGCCTTTATTTTTTATTTATTTATTTTTTGTTTATTTTTATGTGGTGCTGAGGATCTAACCCAGTGCCTCACACATGCTAGGCAAATGCTCTGCCACTGAGTTACAGCCCCAGTCCTGAAGTACTTTAACCTTTTACATATGAGGAAATAGAAAAGTTGAATAACCAGATCAAGTCACATAGCTAGTAAAGAGCTAAGTTTAGAATCTGTGTCTATATGATTGATTACAAAGCACATATCTTTCTGTCATGTCATGCTGCTTCCAAACTCTTTCACCTGCTTAGTATTTGCTGTGGCATGGGACTTAATCCTTTTGGGGCTCAGTTTTCTAGTCTCTAAAATGAGGGTTATTCTGAATTGCTTCATGGAGATGTTATGAGGATAATGAAAACATAAATGTAAAAACATTCTGGAAGAATTTTGCATGATATACATACAGAAAAATATTGTTTATTATTTGTAAACATTTCACAAATGTATATAGATAAATAATGTTTCAAGCTTGAAATTGTTGTTACCTTCTTTCCCTATTTGAAAAAGTTATTTTTTAAAGCATGTGTTCTTTTTTTGTTTATAACTTTATTTATTTATTTATTTTTAGTACTGGGAATTGAATTCAGGGACACTCATCTACTGAGCACATCCCCAACCATATTTTGTATTTTATTTAGTTGCTTAGTGCCTTATCACTGCTGACTGGCTTTGAACTTGTGATTCTCCTGCCTCAGTCTCCCGAGCTGCTGGGATTATAGGCATGCACCACCACGCCCAGCCTATAACTTTGTTTTATTTATTTTCTTATATGGTGCTGAGAATCAAACTCAGGGCCTCACATGTGCTAGGCAAGCACTGTGAACCCAACCACTGAACTCAACCCCAGCCCTAAAAAGTTATTTTTTAAAAATAACTTATTTTGAGGGGCTGGGGGTGTGGCTCGAGTGGTAGCGCGCTCGCCTAGCATGCGTGAGGCACTGGTTTCGATTCTCAGCACCACATAAAAACAAAATAAAGATACTGAGTCCATCTAAAAAATAAAAAATATTAAAAAAAAATTAACGTGGGCATGTTTTCTCTCTCTTGTGTGCACACATTTTTTGCCAGCAAGTTTTCAAGATCATTTCCTTCAGTCTTTAAACAGTTCTTCGTAGTGGTCTTTCCAGTTTGCTGGGCGCACTTCAAAACATTCTTTTCTGAAAACAACATACAGCTTTTATCCTCTCATGGAAGTTTGGGAAAAAAAGGATTGTTTAAAGAATGTCTCTGAAAATAGAGAATATATGATCTTGACCGATGTTAACAGTGACAACCCTTTAGTTCTAGAAGGTAATATGAAAATTGCTATAGAAAAAAATTTATTATCAAAAAAGGTGAAAGACAGGAAAGGTGGTATTCATTGAGTTTTTCTGTCATATCCACATGTATGTACACCAACCTGGCCATTGTGATGTGCTAGATAGATATCTTGGAGATTGAACCAAGCCCTTGCAAATTCAGAATCATATCATCAGACTTAATTATGAAATCATTCAGAGAGTGAAGAAACTTTATGCCAGAAGTACACAGTAGTAAAGATTTTTTAAATAATAACAACCTTTTGGAGACATAATTCTTAAACAGTATAATTTGAACATATAATGTGTACTTTTCAGTGATATTCCATATACTCTCAGATTTTATAGACATCATCAGAGTAGGTTTTAGAACATTGCCATCACCCCAATAGAAACCTATACCCTTTAACAGCCATTCCTCATTTCCTTCTTATTCCAGGCCAGTATCAGTCTACTTTTTCTTTCTGTAGATTTACCTGTTGTAAATTATTAATATAGACTCATAAAACATATGGTCTTTGTGACTAGCTTGTTTTAGATAGCATAATGTTGTTAAGGCTTATCCTTGTTGTAGAGATAGAATTTAATATAACAAATTTTTTAAAAGATTTTTTTAAGATGGACACAATATTGTTACTTTATTTACATTTATATGATGCTGAGAATTGAACCCAGTGCCTCACATGTGCGAGGCAAGAGCTCTACCACTGAACTATAACCCTAGCCCTGATATCACAAATTTTTATTAGAGCACTGAAAATATAAAAAAGGAACCCCTGGAATGTTTTTATTATGAATAATAGCAACTCCAAGAATCAGCTACTACATTTGGGCTTAGGGAACCAAACAAATAGGTTTTTATTGTGTAATTCTTTTGATGCTAGGGATTGAACCTAGGGACACTTTACCACTGTGCTACATCCCCACTTTTTAACATCTGAATACAAGGTCTTTCTAAGTTGCTGAAAGTCATACCAGGTTGCTAAGGCTGGCCTGCAGCTTGCTATCCTCCTGTGTCCCAACTCATTTGGATTACAGGCATTTATCACCATGCCTACCTAATTGTGAAAATTTAAAGCTTGAGGAGCTGGAATGCTGCAACATTGATACCAGTGCCTCAAAGCTCTGGAAAGGGGGTCCAAGAACTAGCAACAGGCTAGCTGTTGCTGGTATTATTGATAGTGTGCTATGAAACTGGTTTTGCAAGTATTGGAAAACTCCAAGTGGAATTGACTGCTGCTGACTGCAATGAACTGCCACTGCCAGAGTGAAGAAACATATTCCTGTCAGCAATAGGAAAAGGTGTTACTTGCTTTTCCAGTCTTGGAGCCCCTGCTCTCTAGCACTTCCTATTGGCAGAACCCAACAGGGAGCCAGGTAAAGAAGGAGAAATGTGGTTTGAAGAATCCTTGCATCAACATCATAAAGTCTAGAAAGGAGATTTGAAGCTGAGAAACAGCATGATAATCAGCACATTATATAGTATAGATAAGTAGAAGGTTGCTTAGTACAAATATTTATAATAATCTTATTATTCTAGTTTAGTCTCTTGGAAAGGGCCCTAAAATGTTCTAAAGCACAATTCTTTCCAATTAATGAAATAATATTTAGCTGTATGTTGCTTTAATTAAACATAAAACAGGGCAGGGTTGTGACTCAGTGGTAGAGTGCTTGCTTAGTATGTGTGAGGCACTGGGTCTGATCCTCAGCACCACATAAAAATAAATAAAGGTATTGTATCCATTTATAATTAAAGATTTTTTTTAAGATTATTATTATTTAAAAAAATTTTTTTTTAATATTTATTTTTTAGTTTTCGGCAGACACAACATCTTTGTTTGTATGTGGTGCTGAGGATTGAACCCAGGTCGCACGCATGCCAGACGAGCGTGCTACCGCTTGAGCCACATCTCCAGCCCCTAAAGATATTTTGTAAAAAACATAAAACATGGGTATGAGGAAATATATGTTGTTGGCTGACTCATTATTAACATTATTAAAATGACACACCATATATTTTATGCTACCAAGAAAAAAAAGTGCTACCACTATTAATGTTAGACACCAATTTTATGATCTGTCCTAATTTTAAAGATTCTAAAACATTCAAAAAGAGCTAGGTGCACTTGCACATGCCTACAATCCCAGTGACTTGAGAAGCAGGCAGAAGGATTACAGTTGAAGGTCAACCTCAGCAACTTAGTGAGACCTGGTCTTAAAATAAACAATAAAGGGGCTGGTGATGTGGCTCAGTGGTAGGGACTTGCCTAGCACATGTGAGACACTATGTTCAATCCTTAAAATCCACATAAAAATAAATAAATAAAGGTATTGTGTCTGCAACTAAAAAAATATATATATATATAATAAATAAATAATAAAAAGGACTGGTGATGTAGTTTAGTGTTAAAGTACCCCTGGGTTTAATTCCTAGTACCTTAATTAATTAAAAATATAAAAAATGTGCAAAGTATGTGTTTTAGGATTGAAAAATACAGCAGTTTTGTTTTCTGGCTATTGTTAACTAATGCTGAGTAGCAACTTGAAAGTGTTCTTCATAATAGCAAATACAGATTTAGCCTCTGAAGTCACATAGTATGAATTTGAGTCTTTCCACTTATCAACTTGTAACTTGGTTTCTCTGCCTGAAGTCCCCCTCCCTCCCCATATTAAGTTGAGGCAATAAGGTTTGTGGCTCAGCGATAGAGCGCTCACCTAGCATGTGTGAGGCCCTGGGTTCGATCCTCAGCACCACATAAAAATAAATAAAATAAAATAAAGGTATTGTGTCAAATACAACTAAAAAATATTTAAGAAAAAAAGTTGGGGCAATAATAGCATTTAAGTTGAAAGTGTTTTGTGAAGATTAGATAAGAAAATTCATGTGGAATGTTTACCATAATGATACAAAGTAGTTTGTGCAGTGTAGTAAAATGCATCATTAGCCATTTTTTGAGATCAGGTTCCTTCAAAAAACAAAACAAAAAAAAAGGACGGTATTTTGAGGTAATTGTCTAATACATTAAAGCTATTGCTAGTCAGTAAATTAGTTTCTTGCCAAAAGAATGAGATGACAAGCATCACCATCCCTTTTATGTGTATATTCATCTATGATGAGTAAGAAGAATGAGTTTATAAGAGCCATTTGTCTTTGCAATAAGGCCTACGGAGATTGAAAAGTTATGTGTATACTGCAAGGTGAAAATATTAGTTTTTTAGTTGAGATAATATTCACTGTAATCATGTCATTTTAGCTTTCAGGCAATTTACTAAATTGTCTAAAGTTACTTTTCTTTTTCTGCAGGTGGTTTTCTTTCAGATGCAGGCTGGTACAGTGATGCTGAGAAAGTTTTTCTGTCTTGCCTTCAATTGTGTACCTTACATGATGAGATGCTTCATTGGTTTCGTGCAGTAGAATGTTGTGTGAGGTAAGTTGGAACAGATTCTGTAATTACATACTGTGATTGTATACAATGTCTTCTACAATTTTAGCTCTTTTAAGTGTGCTCTAACATCTGTGTAAATCTGTGAGATGATATTTCTATGTCATAATTTCATTAATCTGGCTTGTTTTCCATCTCCAGAATATAGTGAATCTGCTATGGATGTCTTAGCTTAGATTTCAGCATTATGAACCAGAATGTGAATCTGTATATCTCTTTGCTTTTTCATAGGGTTTATTCAACAAACATTTATTGAAGATTTATGTGCTAGGAATTGTGCTAGGCAATGGGTTCTAGGAAACTCAAGAAATATATATATATTAGTTGTAGGTTTAAATTTTATTTATTTATTTTTTATGTGGTGCTGAGGATCAAACCTAGTGCCTCACGCATGCTAGGCAAGCCCTGTACCTCTGAGCCACAACCCCAGCCCACTCAATGTTTTTTTTTTCTCTTTTATTTTTTTCATTATATTGGTGATTGAACTCAGGTGTGCCCTACCACTGAGCTGATGAGTTAGCAAAGCCAAACCCCTTCAGAGCTAGAATATAGTCTAGATATTAAATCCATTGTTGATTTAAGCTAAAATTGAGTATAGCGCTTTTTCTTTCTTTTTTTTTTTTTGGTACTGAGGATTGAGCTCAGGGATGCTTAACCACTGAGCCATATCCCCAGCCCTTTTTTATATTTTATTTAGAGACAGGATGTCACTGAGTTGCTAAGTACCTCACTAAGTTGTTGAGGCTGGCTTTGAACTCAGAATCCTCCAGCCTCAGCCTCCCAAGCTGTTGGGATTACAGGCGTATGCTACAACACCTGACTTTTTTTTTTTTTCCTCCAGTCTTTTAAGGATGTTATTGTCCTGTTTATATAGTTACCTGTGTAATGGAAACATTCAAATCCTGAAGTTAGCTTTTTAATTTGCAATCTTAGTTATAAATAAGTTGGAAGCTTATAATTGCCCATATGTCTGTTAGAAGTACTATATGATAAATTATAGGGATATTTGTGTGCAGAAACTATGAAGGGATTAGTGTTTGGGTTTATAATCTGTAGTACTGATGAAAATAATCTTTCTGTCATCTGCCTTTTTCTGCCTATTTTATCTTTTTAAGAATAGGAGATAAGACTATCTCATAGTGGTGTGGGAAGTTAAATATTTCTATGTGTATGAACTAGTTTATTAGGAATAGAAAAGCTATTAACATTTTTTTTCTCATGTGCTTGATTTTTATTCACAGGATCAGAAGATCTATTCCATCCAGATAACCTAATTTTTCTAATTTTTAAGGCTTTTGTATAAATTTTACTTTAGCCTAACACACTGGGTTAGTTTTCTTGCAGGACCTGAGCACTTTCTCTCCTTCCTTGTTTGTCATTTCTAGCAAGTAGCTCACATCTTTAGGGTTGCAAGTTGTTTTCTCTCTCAGGAGAAAAAGGAAGGGCAGAAGGCTCATTCCAGCTGAGTCTGCTTTTTTCTTTCTCCTTCCTTCCTTTGCTTACCTGTTTCTTAAACAGGAAAGCTAGGATTCATTATAGTCTTTAGCCCATGTAAGGTGTTCTAGGGAGTAAAACATTTTTAATTGTGCATATAGCTACCTTGAATGAATTCAGGGTCTGCATTAAGAAAGAAAGGAAAGAGGATAGTGAATAGGTAGCTAAAAATACAGTAAATAATATCTTTGGAACAAGCACATGGAAATTAGAATGTTGTCTAGACTAAGAAACAATAGCATTTATAGTTTCAGCTTACTGTCTGTGTACTAGGACAAGTGAGTTTGTACTTACAAATTAGAAATTTCAGAGCTGGGGTTGTAGCTGAGTGGTAGTGCACTTGACTAGCATGTGTGAGGCACTGGGTTTGATCCCTAGCACCATATAAAAACAAATAAAATAAAGGAATTATGTCCTTCTACAACTAAAAGTTATATGGATATTAAAAAATATTTTTTGAAAGAAATTTCAAAATAAAAATTTGCCTCTACACAACTATACTAGCCAAATTCTTCATCAATATAAGTATATGTAATATAGTTAGTATGTAGTATATAATCATCTACTGAATATTAATTTAAAAAAAAAGATTACACTTTGCTAATTTAGATGTGTTTAAGGCATGGGAAAATTTGGGGTTTTAATTGACCATGTGTTTAGTTGAATTGGAAAAGAAATGTTTTTCAGAACAGATACTAATGGAATCCTTTGGTAAATCTCAGGGTTTTTGAGCTTGATGCAAGAGTAAAGTGTGTTCTTCAATTTAATATTATAAAGTCAGTTTCTAATCTAAGGCTGGCATTGAAACATAGAGCAAATGTCAGAGAGCCTTCTTGGTCTTTCTGTAGTTAAACTTGGTACCATTTTTTTTTTTTTTTTAGTAGTTTTTTTTTTTTATTCCTTTGAAACTCTGCCTATTTCCCTTTACTCGTTTTTGTTGTAGTTTTTTGTTCATACATGTCTATTGCCAAACAAATTTTAAAATACAGAAACTAGTAACTATTAATAAAATAAATGTTGTACATAATCTCATTGCCCAGAAACAATCAGACTTACTATGCTATTATTCCCTTAGTATACAAAAGTAGTTGGTTCTAAGACCCCCATGGATACCAAAAATATTTTTGGATGCAAAATGAAATTACTTTGTATTAGGCATATATGATAGCCTATTTCTTTAAGCATACATTTGGGAGAATAGAGAAGTAACAGCATTATAAATGTCTCATCTTGGTGGGGAAAGTAGGAATGGGCATCATTATTTAATGTCCAAATACCAGTTTTGAGCGGAGGGAGCATGGGTTAGAAGGATTAGAAACTTGATCAACTGATATAAGGAAAGAAAATATAGACATGACTAAGTATGATATATAAAAATAAGATGAAAAGATTATAAGCATTTATAATGATTATTATAATACATGTAAATCTTCTTAGTTCCTCAAATTGCCAAAAGGGCTAAAATAAAATCTAGCCATATATTGTTAAGAGGAGACACACCAAAACAATAATGTTGGCAATGAAGAATTCAGGATAAAAACAAAAGGGATTTAGTTGGTACAAAAGGGATATTGATAATAGATTGTGTAATTCACAAATAGCAGTGCATCCTCAAAATACAAAGCATTTGATAAAATGATAATACAGTGTTACCAGGCGTGGTGGCACACATCTGAAATCCCAGCTGCTCTGGAGGCTGAGACAGGAGGGTCAGGAGTTCAAAGACAGCCTCAACAAAGGCGAGGTGCTAAGCAACTCAGTGAGACCCTGTCTCTAAGTAAAATACAAAATAGGGCTGGGGATGTGGCTCAGTTTTAAACGCCTCTAAATTCAATCCCTAGTTTGAACTCAAAAAAGGAGGAAGAAAAAAAAAAAAGATGATACACCATTGAGTGCAGATTAATGCAGAATTCATGGAGATTATCAAGGAAATAAGTTCTTTCCATCTTCCTGTTGTCTGTTGTGAGTCTGTTGTTTTGGGCTAGCTCTCCAATGCCAGGTATCAAGTACAGATTCTACATTGTCCATAAAAAGAAATACTCCCTTCCCAAGCACTATTTTTCTTTGAAGATAAGGAACCATCCAATTGAGTTACCCATTAGTTTTACAAGTTTACTTGGCTCTGACTTGTAAAAAAGATACTTGAAATTTTAGAATAACCTTAGAATATTATTTTGTATAAGGGTTTTATTCTTTTTGAAATGAAGATAACTGTGGTGATTATTGGCACTATACTATAGTATGTATACACCACCTATTGATTAAATGTCTTTCTAATCAATAGTCCTTAGCTTTTTTTGAAGTTGTTCTGTTTCCCTGTGAAAGAAATGATAGAGGAGAAAAAATTGAATTTTTCTCATTTTGGGTTATTAACCTGTTAATATTTTTGGTGTAGCTAAAAAAAGAAAAATCTTAAGTTTCTACTTGTGATACCCCTGAAGAATGCTTCCCAACCTTTCCGTACTTGTTCCCTTCCTTCTCCCCCCGACCCCCCCCCCCTTTTTTTTTTTGGTGCTGGGAATCAAAGCTAGGATCTTGTGCATGCTAGGTTAAGTGCTCTATCACTGAGCTACACTCAGCTCACTTGGATTTCTTTCCTTTTTTTTCTTTTGTGTATGTGAGGTGCGGGGTTGGAGGGGATACTGGGAATTGAACCCAGGTATGATCTACTATTGAGCTATATTCCTAGCCAATTTTATTTTTTATTTTTCATTACATTGTCCAAGCTAGTCTTAAACTTGGAGTTCTCTTGACTCAGCCTCTCCAGGAGCTAGGATTAGGCAGGTGTGACCATACCCATGACTATTTCTTCTAAATTTATGTTCCTATGCTTACAATCCAACCCATCCATCACTCCTAAATGTTTACCCAAGCCAAATGAACCCAGGGGTGTTTTACTGCTGAGCTGTAACCCCAGCCTCTTTTATTTTTTTGAGACAGGGTCTCACTAAGCAGGGTAACATTAAGCCTGTAATTCTCCTGCTTCAGAAAGAAACACTGGGATTACAGGTTTGTGCCTCTGAACCTGTCATTTGGCTTTCATTTAAAATATCTTTTATACTTTCGTTCCTTTTCAAGCTGAGCATCAGAAATTTGCATTAGCCTAATACAAAGAAAATAATATTGCCCTGACATAATGTTCAAGCCATCATTATAATAAGATATATTTATTTAGTCCTAACATTGTGCTCATGTGTTATATAGATGTACAGTCTATTGCTATTTAGACTTTATTCTGATCTAAAGTGTTTTAGTATTCTTGAATATCATTAAGTTGATTGATGGGCTGTACAGTTACTTTATGTAAAGAACACTGTATTTTCTGCCACCAAGGATAAAGGTTAGCAGTAACTGATATACTGCTATTTCCCATAAAATAAGCAAAAATGAGCATTCATGAAATCAGTGACCAAGTATTATGCAAATATACTAAAATAAGAATGAAAAGTAATGGTGGGTAATGGTATCTCAGGCTGATTTTTATTTCCTTCATTATTTTCCTTTCCTTTCCTTGACCCTCCACCCCAATATTGAGAATTGAACCCAGGAGTGCTCTACCATTGAGAACTATATCCCCAGTCCTTTTTATTTTTATTTTGAGACAGGCGTCTCAAAGTTGCCTAGGCTGGCCTTGAACTTGGGATACTCCTGCCTCTGCCTTCTGAAATAGCTGGGATTACAGGTGTGTGCCATCACATCTGGTCTATTGTCCAAATTTCTTTCTTGGGGATTGAACCAAGGACTTTGTGCATGAGAGGCAAGCACTTTACCAACTGAGCTATATCCCTGGCCCTCTTTTTTTTTTAATACCTGGAACTGAACTTAGGGACCCTCAGCCCCTGAGCCACATTCCCAGCCCTATTTTGTATTTTATTTAGAGACAGGATCTCACTGAGTTACTTAGCATCTCTGTTTTGCTGAGGCTGACTGTGAACTCGAGATCCTCTTGCCTCAGCCTTCTGAGCCACTGGGATTACAGGTGTGTACCACCACACCTGGCTATTTTCAGATTTCTTATACTGAAACTATTACTTTTGGATTTGGAACCAAAAAAGTAAAATTTTTTTTTTATATATATAGCACATGCTGAGTACACAAAGTGTACACAATACTTAGAGAAGAGAAGAAATCAAAATTGGATCAGGTTAATTATGTGAAGTTTCTTGGAAGAACATGTATTCTACTTTTTTTGTTGTTGTTGTTTATTCTGGTGCTGGGAATTGAACTCAGGCACTTAACCAATGAGCCACATCCCCAGCCCTATTTTGTATTTTTTATTTAGAGACAGAGTCTCACTGAATTGCTTAGCACCTCGCTGTTGCTGAGGCTGGCTTTAAACTTGTGATCCTCCTGTCAGCCTCCCAAGCTGATGGTATTACAGGTGTGCGCCACCACATCTGGCCTGTATGTACTTTTTATGGGCCTTAATTAACCCTAGTCTGGGCCAATTTTTTTCTGATGTTGCCTCATTTCTTTCATCTATCTTCAGTTATTTAAGCATTACATAGTAATTATAAGTTATCAGGGGGCTGGGGATGTGGCTCAGGCGGTAGCGCGCTCGCCTGGCATACGTACGGCCCGGGTTCAATCCTCAGCACCACATACAAACAAAGATATTGTGTCCGCTGAAAAGTAAAAAATAAATATTAAAATTAAAAAAAATAAATAAATAAGTTATCAGGTTATATGTGCTGGAATACCAGAAATAAAGGACAGTTATTTGTGTTTTACAGGTTGCTTCATGTACGAAATGGAAACTGCAAATATCATTTGGGTGAAGAAACATTCAAGTTAGCTCAGACATATATGGATAAACTGTCAAAACATGGCCAGCAAGCAAACAAAGCTGCACTCTATGGGGAACTGTGTGCACTCCTATTTGCAAAAAGTCATTATGATGAGGTAAGTGTTTTGAGGTATATGTCAGTGTGACCAATAATTGCCCATAAAACGGATAAATCAAATAGTCTTCTCATATGCTTTATAAATCTCAGTTTCACATATTAAGTTTACTTAAAGCAAGTACACATTTGTAATACTTAAGATAATATTAAAGAAGTATTTATCAAATGGATTTCTTTAAAATTTTTTATTTAGTTGTTGATGGACCTTTATCTATGTATTTATTTATTTATTTATATGTAGCGTTGAGAATTGAACCCAGTGCCCCACACATGCTAGGCAAGCTCTCTACCACTGAGCCACACAGTCCCAGCCCCGTGTGTGTGTGTGTGTGTGTGTGTGTGTGTGTGTAAAATTCATTTGACAGGGGTGGGGTTGTGGCTCAGTGGTAGAGGGCTTGCCTAGCATGTGTGATATGTGAGGCACTGGGTTCGATTCTCACCACCACATATAAGCAAATAAATAAAGGTCATCAATAACTAATAAAAATATTTAAAATAAATAAATGTGTGTGTGTGTGTGTGTACAATTCAGGGCCTTTTTTTTATTTTTTAATTTAACCAAGTATTTCTCTGCCTAAATTGTTTTAGTGATATCCTCTGGTAAGTAAACCTTAATAGATGTTTTTGATTAGATGTGTAGTTCTGGGTGAACTCTCATAACTTGGAAGCTAGATTTTTATTTATGCCTTATAGCATTGCTTTTCTCCTTCCTCCTCCTCATGAATAAGATTGCTTCATTCCTAGTTTTATACTATTAAATTAATGCTTTGGTGATAATAAATACATAGTTGACTAGTGTGCTTTGCTGCTTGGTTGCTTTATTTTATGGGACAATATCATAATTATTTCATGCTATCAGTCATCATTTAGCTTTCATATTTTAAAATTATCCCTATAATTATTTTTGTCCTATTCCAAGTATATATGCCATATTTAAAGGGAAATTACAATTAGCAGTGATACCAGAAAATTATAGAATAGTTGAAAAAGGATGTTTGTGCCTTTTTAATATTTATGTAAGAATACTAAGACTGACATGTAAAAATCTAAAATCCATATCAGTGTGCCTATAGTTTTTCAGGAAATAAGTGTATGTGTAATTTTTTGATGTTGAGATCCTGTGTCTGCTAAATTTGTTCTGTGGGTGGATTGTTTTATTGCCCCTTATGTGCAATGAGTGATGCATAATTGTTTATCAACTTAGATGTAGGGCTTGGCCCCTTTTTCTAATTCTCACACACCAGAAAACAGCTCCATTCACAGAAGATCTTTGTGCAGATACTTGACTTCATGGAAAATGAGAGTGAGGTTAACAATAGATATTAAGTAATACCTGTCTTTAAAAGTTCTTAGATGCTGAGCTGGGGTTGTAGCTCAGTGGTAGAGCGCTTGCCTAGCATGTGTGAGGCACTGGGTTTGATTCTCGGCACCACATATAAATAAATAAAATGACAACTAAAAAAAAATTAAAAAACAAAAATAAAAAACAACAGTTCTTAGATGCACCAACATCTTTTTATGTTTGCATAGAAACTCAGCCATCTCTGCTTCCTCTTTCATCATTTCCTTTCTTTTCTTTTTTCCCTCATACTGCTTTCTAGAACACTGTAGTCATGTCCCCCACCTCACCCCCCATCCCCCACCCCTACCTCTTACATAGAGTAGTTTGTATTGTGCCATTCTTTACTCAGGTGCCTTTTATTTACCAGTTTCCATTTTCTTTCCTTTTAGGCCATTACTACTTAATTGACAGTTATTTCTTTGGGTTTAGTAGTTTAAATGATGCCTTACTCTTGATCTTTGCAGCTCTTAGCACATTCATGAGGAATGTTTAAGTTTGTTGTTGTTTCTTGGATAATTTGACAGTGTATTCTTTTATAAATAAACTTTTCATTGCTGTCTTCAAGAAACTGTGCATATCTTGAGGATATAGTGTGATGAATTATCACCAAATTCTTATTAGTCACAATAGGGTAGGCTGTCTGGAGTCAATATCAATCCCAAAATAACAGTGGTTTGTAACAATAAAAGTTTGTTGTTTTGTTTATACTTGGAATGACTACAGCTGCACTTAACAGTAGGCTTACATTTTGTTCAAGACCCACTATGGTTTATTTAGGACATCTATCTGGAATATTAAAAATCTTGGAGCAGAGAACAAGAAGGACTGCTTATTCTGTCGATTGAATGTATAACATAAAGTACAGGCACTTTATGAACAATAGCTAGCACAACATAAGCATTTTAACTAAACAGGCAATTAAGGTTTTTTTCCCCTGGTACTAGGTATTGAACCCATGGGAGCTTTACCACTGAATTATATCCCCAACCCTCTTTATTTTGAGACAGGTCTTTTTTAAATTACTAAGGCTGGGGCATGCCACCGTGGCTGATCAGGATATAAAATAATAAGTGTTATAATAGGGGAAGTATAAAATACAAGAAACAGACTAGGACTGAAACCTGAAAGACAAGTTAGGTGTGTTAAAGAGTTAGAGGAAGAGACAATGTATTCTAAGGCAGAGGAAATATGTATAAGGACTTCTGGGCAAAAGAGCACATGCCTCTCATTTCTTGAACATATGTCATATATCTGCAAGGTCTGATTCAGAAAACCTGTACATAATTAAGAGTAAAAATAATGTAACATTCATACTTTCAAGAAAATAAAGACTCACAAAACTTTTTAAGTGTAAGTATTTGGTGTGTTATTTATGTACTTGATAGCTTATTGGAAAAATCTGCAATCATTTTGTTAAGTACTCTCAATTGAATTATCAAATTGTTCTGTTTTCTTCTAAAAATTTTTTGTTTTTTAGGCATACAAATGGTGCATTGAAGCAATGAAAGAGATTACAGCAGGCTTACCAGTTAAAGTTGTGGTTGATGTTTTGAGACAAGCATCTAAGGTGAATATCATTTTAAAATTATTAAATGAATTGTAGGATTTAAATTTGTTTTAGTTAACTTACTATTTTACATCTTAGTTATTGTATACTGTATATACTACCAAGATCTAAATTCTAAGTTTCTGTGCCAGGTTTTAGAAACCTGGTATTTAAGCCAAACTATCTTACATGGACTTTAATTACTTTTCTTTTTTCAAGAAAATTGTGATATAATTCGTTTTAATAACTGTTTCAGTTCACTGAAGTACAGATTATGGTATTTTGGGGTTATTCTGATTTGAGTTCTTGGTTTTTTTAAGTCTGTGGAGTAATCTGAATTCTTTAGGCCAAAACTATATGGGCTATAATCACTTTTCTCCTTAAGGATAACCTAGTATTAAGTGTTTTACTCTAATATTGCACTCTCATAGCAAGACACCTTGCTATACTTGACCTAGTAGATAGGTTTGTTTGTTTTTTTTTAATCTTTCTGTAGTTTCTTCTTATTCTGTAAACAAATGCATTAATTCTTTCACCACTTAGTAGCATTTAAAAATTATTGCATTGGAATCTGAGGATGTAGTTCATTGGTAGAGTACTTACCAAGTATGCATAAGGTGGGGGAGGGTAAAAATTACTGCTTTGGTTCACTGAAGCCTTAAAGCATTAATGTACTTTTTTGCATATAGTCTTTCTAGAAGTTTCTCAAATTTGAATATTCCACTTTCATCAGTTTGGCTTATGGAAATTCAGTTGGAAAAAAATATTACAAAATTATGGATCCTAGAAGACTGCAATATTTTTGCAAATATTAAATCACTTATTTTGGAGCAAGTAAATGGCAGCATAAATATTCAGGTTATCATCAGCATTATAAAAGGGATCTTAGTATGTTTTTAATTATGTAAAAACATCAAATATTCAGTTAACATAAAGACAGTAAATATGTAAGATTTATATTCCTATATGCAAATGGTATTTAGAGTTTCAAAACTACTGACAATCCTCATGGTTGAAAATATTTTGAGAAATAATAGAAAAACTTGAAAATCTGTGTATTTAAAAATTATTAGTTGAGTCTAAGGCATACCACCCTAAATACTCCCCATCTCATCTGATATCTTAAGGTGAGGGTTGGGCCTAGGTTGCACTTACATGGGAGAGCACCTGGAATATCAGGTGCTGTAGACTTAGGAAAAAATATATTACAGGAAAACTATGAAAGATCATTGTAAGCCACTCCAGAACTGGGATTAGTACTTTAAGGTACCTTTCTAAGTACCTTAGAAAATACTACAGTAAGCCCTCCTCCTACTATTTTATTTTAATAATAAGGAAGGTAGTTATACCAGCTTTGTTAGGAAACTTTGTCATGGTTTTGCACTGAAAATGGCTGGAAAAATTTTAAACTTTATGTTTTTTTTAGGTTATATGCAGATCTGTTTATAATAGTTTATAAATAACTTGGAAATAAAAAAATTACAAATAGAATCTTTCTGTTTGAAGATTTTTTTTCTTACTACTATAACTAAAATATATAAACTATATTTATTTTAGCACACTAATGAACTGTTTAAAAGGTAACAATTTTTCATTTTATCATCTTTAGGCTTGTGTAGTAAAACGTGAATTTAAGAAGGCAGAACAATTAATTAAACATGCAGTGTATTTGGCACGGTAGGTGGTGGTTATTTCAAATGTCATTTTATTTATTTATTTTTATTGATTTTTTTCTTTTAAAAAGCCAGCAGAATGCATTATAAATTTTATTACATGTATACTGCACAATTTTTCATTTCTCTGGCTGTATATAAAGTATGTTGACAACAATTCGTGTATTCATACATATACTTTGGATGATGTTGTGTATCACATTCCACCATTATTGCTGATCCCCTGCTCCCTTCCTTTCCCTCCCACCCATCTGCCCTATCTAGAATTCATCAATTCCTCCCTACCCCACTATGAGTCAGCCTCCTTATATCAGAGAAAACATTCGGCATTTGTTTTTTGGGGATTGGGTAACTTCACTTAGCATTATCTTCTCTAGCGCCATCATTTACCTGCAAATGCCATGATTTTATTCTCTTTTATTGCTCAGTAAAATTCCATTGTGTATATATGTCACATTTTTTAATCCATTTATCCACTGAAGGGCATCTGTGTTGGTTCCACTGTTTAGCTATTGTGAATTGTGCTGCTATAAATATTGATGTGGCTGTGTCCCTGTAGTATGTTGTTTTTAAGTCTTTTACAAATGTCATTTTGAATTGTTACTCTCCATTATATACTAATAGTTTTTCATCTTTTTATAGGGATCATTTTGGATCCAAACACCCAAAATATTCTGATACACTGCTAGATTATGGGTTCTACTTACTCAATGTAGATAATATCTGTCAGTCTGTTGCAATTTATCAGGTATGTTGATGGTTCTTTTTTCTTTTCACCCTAAATTGACTTGCCGACTTGTGTTTGTTCATGGTATATAAATCACTATTTCAAAATAAACTCTTTGAGCCCTGCCTTCCTTTTATAGAGCACTCATTAATTTACTATTACATAGAAGGCTTAAAAACTAATATTTTAGAAATTAAATTTATGAGATTGGGTATATAAAATATTAAAATGTTTAATTTAAGATAGGTGGTATTTTCTAAAGGCTGACAATATTATTAAATATTTTTATTACTTTTTCAGGCAGCCCTTGATATTCGACAGTCAGTGTTTGGTGGCAAAAATATCCATGTAGCAACTGCACATGAAGACTTGGCTTATTCTTCTTATGTTCACCAGTATAGCTCTGGAAAATTTGACAATGCGCTGTAAGTTCCACATTCCTTCTCAGTAAATTAGTAAATACCATTTTTTGTTTGTTTTATTTTTTTCCTCAATACAATAGTACTTAATTTAGTTTATGGATTAAATTTCTCTCTCGGAGCTTTAAGAAGATGCCTAAAATGTTTCTTAAGTTATTTTAAAATCATACCAATTTATAAGCTATTCATTTAGACTCTATAGTTTAATATTGAGACATTTTTATAAAGAAAATGATTTATCTTTTGATTATTTTCTTAAATAATTTTTCTTTTGAGTAATACAGCAGCCTGTGGCTAAATATTAGACCATTTTAATAACCTAAAAACATCTTGCTTAAAGCACACAGAAATATTGAATAAAATATTACAGTCATCTCTTAAAATGTGTAACTGAGCTTGCAAGAATGAGGATAAATCCTTAATCAATAATGGACATTAAAAATTCAATGGCACAAACTATGGTGTAAACCATTTAGGGGTGGTAGGAAAGCTTAGAAATTTCTGTAACTGGCTGTTGAGTTAGACATGAAACCCTCACATGAAGCCAGGATCAAGAGTATACCCTCAGGCATAGGGTTATGGCTTAGCGGTAGAGCGCTCATGTGGCACGTGTGAGGCCCGGGTTTAATCCTCAGCACCATGTAAAAAAAATAAAGGTATTGACAACTACAACTAAAAAATAAATATTTAAAAAAACAAACAAGAGTATACCTCAAGAAAAGGACAAATGGGAAGGAAAAATTACCCCACAGCAGAGACATGACAAGGAAACATTATCTGAGCTTGGGCTCACAGTAAACTAAAGGAGTGCCACAGAGGAATGTATTAACTACAGATTATATCACTTTGGAGACTGGGGATTATGTATGCAGGAACCTACAGACTGAGAAAAACACTGAAGAGCACTGTGAAGCTGCTAGTTCTCTTGGGATATCTTCTGGGAGAAAACCCAAAACACTTACAAGTATGTCATAGATATAGCTCTACCTAAAGTGAAGTCACCATCAAAAATTACAAAATACATAAGGAAACATTTTTCTATGAGTGAGGGTCAACAAACATAATGATTGGAACCCTTTGAACTTGAGTCAAAATATTATGAAGTATGTATTCTTTAATGATTAAAGATATAAAATGGGTTAGCAAACTGTGGCCTGCAGGCAAAATAAAATTTTACTGGAATGTAGCCCTACTCATTCATTTATTCATCTGTTTTCTATGAATGCTTTCATACCACAACAACAGAGTTAGATAGTTAGGACAAAGAATGTGTGGCCAACACAACCTAAAATATTTACTATCTGGCCCCTTAAAAGTTTGCCAACCCTGGGCTGGGGATGTGGCTCAATGGGTAAACACCCCTGGGTTCAATCCCCAGTACCAAAAAAAAAAATAAAAAGTTTGCCAATCTTAATATTAAAAAAAAAAAAAAAATCAGTAATATTTTGGAGGGAAAATAAAGATTGTGTTTACTTTTTTCCCCCAAGTTGGGTCTTGCTATGTTGCCCAGGCTGGCTTGGGACTCCCAGGCTTAAGCCACTCTGCCTTAGCCTTCAGAAGACTAGGACTACAAGTACTCAGTTTAGATTTCAAAATAAAATAACTGATACTATAGCGCAGTTGACCCCTTGAAAATTTTGTGCTAAGTGACAGAAGCTTGTCAAAAAGGATCACATCTTGTATAATTCCATTTATATGAAATGTCCAGAATAGGCAAATCCATAAAGACAGAAAGTAAATCAATGTTACTTAGGCTGGGAGTTGGAGGGAAATGGGGAGTGACTACTAATGGACCTGGGTTTCTTTTGACGTGATGAAAATATTTCTAAAATTGATTATGGTGATGGCTGTATAATGGAATATATTTTAAAAATCACTGAGTTACACATTTATTTAAATAGGTGAATAACTTGTTATGTAAATTAAATCTTCATAAGGAAAAGATCTATTATAAAAAAATAAAATGAATAGCTAGAAATGGAAAATAATCATCGACATTAAAACTCAGTAGACAAGGCTGGGATTGTGGCTCAGTGGGAGAGAGCTGAGCAGCACGGGCAGGACCTGGGTTCGATCCTTAGCACCACAAAAATAAAGGCATTGTGTTGTGTCCATCTACACCTAAAAAATAAATATTAAAAAAAAAAAAAACTCAGTAAACAGGTTAAACATCAGGTTTAATTACGAGAAAGAGATAATTAGTGAATTGAAGATAGGTTTGAGAAATTTTAGAATTACTAGAAATAGAGATAGGAGGCTTAGAGTTGTTTGAAAATTGGCAGATAAAATGGACAAATAGCTTACCTTTTATTTGGTGAGATGGAACATAAAACAAGTAACCAAGCATGTCAGATAAGAATACTTTGTAAAGAATAAAGAAGACTGAGTTTAGAGAATGATAGTAGATTATTTTTAGGGAGATTTATGTAGTCTATTCTGGAAAGGCCTATTCAATGAGAGTGAGCCATGTGAATATTCAGGGGAAGAGCATTGCAGAGAGAGGGTAAATCACATGCAAGGGTGAGACTATGCTTTGCATGCTAGGAATCATGTAGGCCTGTGTGGATGGAGGGGTAACAGAGTTAAAAGCTTAGTCCACAATAGATTGAAAATGTGAAACAAACAAAAAATTGATTATTTACCATAGTTTTATAAGTACTTTCTATCAGTATTATAGCATGATTTTTTTTAAATGCTTAAATCATTTGTAACTAAAAAGAAATGCCAGACTATTATTTATCTGTATTGCAGATTTCATGCAGAAAGAGCTATTGGTATCATTACCCACATCCTACCCGAAGATCATCTTCTTTTGGCTTCTTCAAAGAGGGTGAAAGGTACCCTTTGTAATCCAGTCTCAGATAATTTTAGAATGATAATGTGTGGCATAAAATAGGGGTGTTTATTTTCTCAGAGGTAGTAGAATTAAACTGTATCTCCGTATTTCTAAAATAACCAATTCTGTCAACTCCACAGTTTCCAGTGGTTCTTGGTGAAAGATTGTTCACTTCTCTCATATAATATTATTAAGGTGCCTTTTTCCTGTCTCTCCTTTCTTTATTCCTTCCTTTCTTTCTTGCATGCAAGAAATTAATACAAGCATTTCTTATGAGAATAATGAGTTACACAATGATTACATAGTCATGAGTAAAATACTGAAGATGGGTTTATGGGTTTTGTAGCTTTAGCTTTATAGAGGATAGAGGAGGGTATTTTTTAAGTACTAGGGATTGGGGGATTGAACATGGTAGGCAAATTATACCTCAGGAACTACTTTTTTTTTTTTTTTTTTTTTTTTGATTAATTGCTGAGACTGGCTTTGAACTTGGGATCTTCCTGCCTCTACCTCCTGAGTTTCTGGGATTATAGGGATATACCACCTGCACCCAGCCCACCAAAGATGTTTGATTTAATGCATTTATTTTGCTAACATGTTGGTCATCGTTAGGGTGATTTCATGCATTTTGGATAAATTTTACCTTGTTTCTGGAACTGGACTTTTTCTTCCTTGAGCTTGACAGTTAAGTTACTCAAATACATGAAAATTTCAAAAATTAAAAGCAAGTTTAAAAAAAAGAAAAGTTACCTGAAACCCTACCATTTCTGAATCAACATTTTGATGGATGTTATTTCAGCTTTTTTCTTTAAATAAGATAATTAAGTGAATAAGTATTTCTTTTAGTTTTATAACCTGCTTTTTTCACCTAATGCATTATGAAAGTTTTTCCATTTGAATATATGTTGCTGTTTACCCTTTTTTCTAGAAGTGTATTTAACCTCACCTCTGTTACTGACCCTTTGTATCTTTAACATTTTGTTGTTCAATATTGCTACAGTGAGGTAAATCTTTTACCCACCTTTGTGTAGACAGTTTTTCAAGAAATGAAATTGATACAGGTGTGTGTGTGTGTGTTTTCTATGTATGTGTGTGTGTGTGTACATATTTTTTTTCAAGATTTTAGATGGAATTTTAAATTTTTGAATGCAGCTTTGAAAATAAAATATCTTCTGGCCTGACTTAGTGGTCAAGTAAAGTAGGAAGAAGCTGGTTCTTCTAGTTGTGTTTGGTTAAAGGTCATGTTTTATAAAGGCTGGTTTCAAAAATTTCAAAAGTGCTTAGGTACTCCTTGATACAGTTTCATAAGATTAAAAAGTTTGCCTCTTCCTGACATTTACTTTAAAAATATATTTACCAAGGGCTGGGGTTGTGGTTCAGTGGTAGAGCGCTTGTCTCGAATAATGAGGCACTGAGTTCCATCCTCAGCACCGTATAAATAAAATAAAAGTATTGTGCCTATCTACAACTTTAAAATAATACATACACACACTCATCAGTAAGGTAAAACAGTCCATTAAAGTAGAAACTGATACTGCAAAATAATTTGAGTTATACCATTGTTTTTCTTAAATTTGAATTGAATATGCTATCTAAAATAGAATGATTTCTGCAAAAATGTACGGTTGAAGTGGAATCCTATGATCCTGACCAGTTCTAAATTATAATTACATATAAATATAGTCAATAAATATCACTATTATTTGTTTTTCATTTAGATGTTCCTTTAGCTTAGTAGATGATTTTGAAGTACACTAATTTGTTGCTTTCTATTCAGCACTTATTTTAGAGGAGATTGCTATTGACTGTCATAATAAGGAAACTGAACAGAGGCTGCTTCAAGAAGCTCATGATTTGCACCTGTCTTCACTTCAACTAGCTAAAAAAGCTTTTGGGGAATTTAATGTACAGACTGCAAAACACTATGGTAACCTTGGAAGACTTTATCAGTCAATGAGAAAATTTAAGGTAGAAACATATTTCATATTTTTCTCTCCTTAAATAATAAATGTTCAGTAATTTTAAATAATGTAGCATAGATTCATTATATTTCTACTTAATTTCACAAAGTAATTTAGCAAACAGTGAGTATAAAACAACATAATCGTTAAAATAAAATTAGAGAATTGGGACCATGGAAAAGAAACAGGTCAAATCAAAAAGTCTGATATGATTGTTACAGAAAGACTTCAAACACATGATAATTGCAGGTAAATGGATGGAGTTAGAGAAGATAATGCTAAGTGAAGTTAGCCAATCCCAAATAACCAAATGCCGAATGTTTTCTTTGATATAAGGAGGCTGATTCATAGTGAGATAGGGAGAGGGAGCATGGGAGGAATAGATGAACTCTAGATAGGGCAGAAGGGTTGGAGAGGAAGGGAAGGGGCTTGAGGTTATAAATGATGATGGAATGTGATGATCATTATTATCCAAAGTACATGTATGAAGACAAATTGGTGTGAATATACTTTGTATACAACCAGAGATATGAAAAATTGTGCTCTATATGTGTAATAAGAATTATAATGCATTCTGCTGTCATATATAAATAAATTTTTTAAAAAGACTTCAAACATAATCCTTTGCTAACTTAAGTATGTCCAGCTCATAGCAGAATGCCTGACACATGATTGATATGCAAGAAATAACAGGTATTAATACCAAGAGGTAATTGTATAATTACTCATTAATAGTTAAATATTCTTAATTGTAGCAATAAAATTTCTGATTTTGAATCCCTTTTAGAATTATGGCTTATAATGTATTAATATTGTCCATTTTGAGCTTACAGGAAGGAAAGAATGAGTTTAACGTTCAATTTTGGGCTGAGGTTGTGGTTCAGTGGCAGAGCACTTGCCTCACATTGGTGAGGTACTGGGTTTGAGCCTTGGCATCACATAAAAATAGATAAATAAAGATACTGTATCTATATACACCTAAAATTTTTTTTTAAAAAGATGTTCTTTTTGCCTGATAAAAACTATCAAAATTCCCCCAAAGTGTATGTTTGTATGAATTAACACCTCCTTAACAAGGTCCTGTTAAATCTTGGAATGTATTAACTAAATTTCATTTTTAAATGCCTTGTTAATTTTTTCTTAACAATTTTCTATTTCTATTTTACTTTTGGCATTAGAAACTAATCACTGTTATCACCTTATGTACAGTACACAGTTTCCAAAAACCAGGAATGTTTTCCATTGGCAGCTCTTGGAATAGCTTGGTGTATTTTTTGATCTTATTACTTTATGGTACTTCTCATAAACTGTCTTTGACATTTAGAAGAATTTTGCACATTGGGTAAGAATTGCTGACATAAGTAAAGTATATTAATTCACATAATTATTTTACAGGAAGCTGAAGAAATGCACATTAAAGCAATTCAGATTAAAGAGCAACTTCTTGGTCAAGAAGATTATGAAGTAGCCCTTTCAGTGGGACATCTGGCTTCTTTGTATAATTATGACATGAATCAGTATGAAAATGCTGAGAAACTTTATTTGCGATCTATAGCAATTGGTAAGTTACCTTTAAATTTCCTTTAGTCATTTGATTCAAAGACCAGTGGGTCACCATGTCTTTTAATATGTTGTAAAAGGGAAATACTATTACTGAATTGCAGAGGATATCCGGATACCACCAGGACATCATCTGGAATACTTTGCTAATGGTGCTTGTTTGATATTGAAGCAATAGCAAGAGGTGTGACTCTTATTAGAGTGTCAAGTGTAGGTAAAAATATTGCTTTTGACTTAGTGCAGTTACTGCCCCATCTCTCCCACACCTCCCTTCTATTCTCTTTAACGTCACAAAACAGATTCTTCACCTGTTTTTTGAACTTTATGTAAATGGAGTTATATGATATTTTTACATGTGACTTCTTTTAATGAACCTTAATTGTAAAATATATCTGTGTTATGTCATTTCACTCTCACTTGTTAATTTCATGTTATATAATGTAATATTTTATTGGATTAGTGTGTCATTGTCCATTCCACTGTTAATGAACATATGGAAGATTTGGATAGTTTCCAATTCAAGGTATTACAAAATAAGATGCCATGGTTGCCATCTTATGAAGTGCCTTTTATACCTCTTGCCTATTTCCATATTGATTGTCTTGTCATTTTCTTACTAATTTATGGAACTTCTTTAGTTAAATATAGATACAACAAACCCTTTTTGTTGGTTACATATATTGCCAATATCTTCCCTCATTTTATTGCTTGTTTTTCTAAGGGTGTCTTTTAAAGAACAGAAGCCCTTTATTTTATAGTATGAGACAGCAATCTTAAAAAATAATTAAAAAAAATTTTTTTTTTCATTTTTTTCCATATGGACATACAATAGACCCAAGACCATTTCTTCAGAAGATTGTCTTTTTCCCCTTGTCATAAATCTTGTATTCATATTTACATGTCTCCCTCATTTGCCATCATATATTGACTTACTTGCTTAGTCCCCAAATGCATGTAGTTTCAGAATTGGTAACACATACACCTGTAAAAAACAAACCTACTACTTAGAGTAATATCATTGTTTACAGTTTTCTTTGTCTTTAACCTGAAAGTAGTTTATTTTCGGAATACTATGTTCAAATGCAGATGGAGTTATCACTTCCCTCTTCAATATGGGTGTGTTATTAATTTGAAAAACAATTAGATTCATTTATTTTTGTATTACATTTGTCCCCTCCCTGCGTATTTTATTAAGTATTTTTTGAATATGTGAAATATTACTGTTCTTAAACTCACAACTATACAGAAAGGTTTGTCCAGGGACATGTAGTATTCCCTCATTTCTTCTATCCATTCCCAACTTCCTGATATGTAGATAAAAGATAAATATGTACTTTCTTATTTTCCTACACAAACATATAGCATACTACATAGATACTATTTTTTGACTTTTTTTCTTTAACTTAGCATACCCTACAAATCCCTGCATATGAGCTCATTGGGTGCTGAAACTTTCCTTCTTGGATTATAGCTTAACATTATGCCAATTAAGTGATCATACCACAATTGAACTATTCTAAATATTTTCATTTGTTTCTATATTTTGCCAGAACAGTCACTGTTGTTGTGCATAGCCTTATGTATGTGTGATTTTTGGTTGTTGGAAATGCTGCCATTTTTCTTTGAGATTTCTTTAGAAATTCAGTCCTTCAAAGTTCAGATAGCACATGGGTGGAAATGGTTCCGAGGTGGTGATAGAAGAATGTTCTGAACTGAATTTTTTGGGGGGTCTTGGATGGGGGGCAAACCGAGGACTGAAATATATTCCCAGACCTTTCTGTTTTTTAAATAGAGACAGGGTCTCACTTGAGTTGCTGGAATGACCTTGAACTTGCAGTCCTCCTGCCTCAGCCTCCTGAGTAGCTAGGATTACAGGGATGTGCCGCTTGCCTGGCAGTGATATAAGAATTGTATCTATTCCTTTTAGGGGAATAAAACCAAGCCAGTCTATTTAAATAATTAAACTTAGTTTGTGTTGAAAGACTTTCATTTCGTTATTAGAACTTTCCTTTACTTATTTATTTTTATTTTCAGGGAAGAAACTTTTTGGTGAAGGCTACAGTGGACTAGAATATGATTACCGAGGTCTCATTAAACTTTACAACTCCATTGGAAATTATGAGAAAGTGTTCGAATATCACAATGTTCTGTCTAACTGGAACCGGTTGCGAGATCGGCAGTATTCAGTGACCGATGCTCTTGAAGACGTTAACACCAGCCCCCAGTCCACTGAAGAAGTGGTGCAGTCCTTCCTGATTTCTCAGAATATTGAGGGACCAAGTTGCTGAGGGAGGACCTCAGTTAACCAATTATCTTTTCCCAGATTCCAGGGAATTCATACTGTGAAATCAAAACCATGTTGTTTTTGGGGGCTGGAATTTGCATTGAAACACTGGTCCAGTCCATTGAAAACCCTATTTTGGGTAATCCCTATCTTGCAGAGTGTCCGTAGAATAAGCATATATTCAGTTATATTCAGCATGTATCGCATGTATAAGTAGTCTGGCCCACATTCTCAACCTAGTAGAACAAACAACAGAAACCCCCCCCCCCTTTTTTTTTTTCTTTCTTTTTAAAAAATAATTCGTTTTACAGAAAGCCTGAAAGGAAAAAAAAAAAAAAGAACCCCTAAATAAAACTATTTAAGAGTTTAAAAGAGTTGCATTCTTATTATGTAAGGATGATCTTAACAACTTTTTAACATAAAATTCTTCCATGTGGAGGTATTCAATACTGTACTGTAAAGAAATTTTACGGGGAAAATCTTTATATGCAGTATAGAAAAGTTAACACAAGTACTAATAAAAGAGGGACATCCTGACTTTAGATTTGGCCACCTTTCCCAGAGAAGTGGATACAACCACTCTAGAACTATATTATAAGAGAAGGACTGTCAGATTCATCTGAACTGGACCAGTGTTGATCTGTAAGTAATAAAAAATATGATAGACCAGCGGTTTTAACTCATTTTTTTTTTTGTTTGTTTGTTTTTGGTACAACAATGCAAGATGCTCTAACAGCGTTTGCTAACAGGACCAGGAGGATCTAAAAAGGACCATCCTAATAGAAAAGGTGGTTATTTGGACCAGAGGCTTTAGATTATTATTTTAGCCTCTGCATATACTTTTATCAATAGAATGATTTCATTTAGCTCTATAAGGGAAAATGATAATGCACAAAGTATATTCATATAATAGATACCGAACTAGGGAAATTTGGTAATTTTTAGTGGCACATCTTTAGTCAAGGTACATAGATGGCAATGCCATAAGCAAGTCTATAATGCCTGCTGCAACTACCACCATTATTTAAAATTTACTCTAATAATCAACACAATAAACAAATGTTTTGGCTAAGAGTCGTGAAATAGCTCATGTCCAGGTGGAAATTTTAGGTTACTGTGTTATCTGTGGGGATAATGGAAAATGAATGCCCAGAAATATGTCTTCTAAGAAATTCCTTTATTTTTATGGTATATAAAACAGCATCATTTTATCTGAAACCCAGTAGTCAAATGGAAAGATCCCCTAATGATAGTTGTATTTCACCAATCTGTCTTTCCATTTATTGGGTTCTAATTTTCTTTTTCATCTTTTTGTTCTTCTTGTTCTTATTTTTTAAATTAAGTCAGTTGGGTTATTTAATGTTGAGGTAATGTTCAAATTTGAGAAGTTATGACATGTAGCAAACCAAGAAACAAAGGTCTTTTGCTATTACCTCAATTCTTATTATAGTGGCCCATCTGGTGCCTCTACAGTTAAGAATCTGGGTTTCTCCCCTATTTTCAGGGGTTCATGACTTGGCCATTAGAGATGTTATTCCAAGCTAATGCTTGGAGTAGTCTGTGCGTGAGTGAGTGTGTATTGAATTTTGGTTTTTCTCTTAACATGCATGTTGGGTGAGAGTAAATTCTAAATTCACATAGAGTACAGAAAAACTAATTGGTGATTTAATTTTAAATATTTTTTTTTTAACTTCCCAACTTTAACCTTGTTTGAAACCGCTATTTGCATTTTTGTTAGTTGTGAGCCAGTGCATTTAAATTATTCAGAGGTATACCTGAAGAGATAAGCAAGCCCAGATCCCTAAGATGATAACTTTGTGATTTAGAAATCTGGATTTTTTTTCCTCAAATTATTCTCTTTAAATTCTGGAAAGAATAAATTGGCATGCCTGCAGTTTATGAATCTGGTCCCCCTCCCAGTTAATTGCAGTCTGATGCCAAGAGTCACCCTTTATTAATTACTAAATAATCTGTGTGACCAAGGACTAACATTTTAAGTTACTCAGCTCTGTCCTCATGGACCTATATATTTAATACCTCCAAAGATATTTTCAGGATAGGCTTTGTATACTTTTATTGGTTATTAGAGTCCTATGGTATATTTCTGGTATAGGAATGTTGTGGTAAATTGTTTTTCAATAAATATTTTGAAACTTATGTTTCCACATGAAGTTTCTTTTTTTTTTTTTTTTATCTTTTTTTGTTTTGTTTTTTTCTTTTTTTTCTTTTTGTTTTTTGTTTTTTTGGGGGGGCAGGAGGGTTTGTGCACATACAACATTTCCTAGGATAAAATCAAGCAAAAGACTTTAAAGCCTTATCTTCCCTAACTCAGTTTGAATTCAACTTAGCTCACACTCAGTGATAAAGTGACACAATATTTAGAAGACTTGGATCACAGGGTGATAATGTCAGCTGGCAGCCAGTGTCATCCCCTACCCCATGTCATTATTGGCAGTTTTTCCTTTTTACCGCTAATTTAATGTAGTTTTCTTTAAGTCCATAAGTGTTTATAAAACATACACTCTAGCTGTTTTGTTAGTGATATGACTTAATAATTGCATTATTCTGATTCTGATGAATAATAATATCCTAATAATTTTTAAGTATAGGATTTATCCCTTTAGTAAAGATGTTGAGGGCAAATTTGAGAAATGAATGCCACCATGATTTATGACATTAAAAAATAAAACTAAAAGTAATAAAATTATACCCACAATAACTAAACTTTTTTACATATAATGGGGTCCAGTGTAAGGAAGCCTTGGCCAACTTAAATATTTTTCTGGAAGCTTAATGAAGTAATGTTAAATAAGGGCCTTTGGTCTCATCATTTCCTGAGTTCTACCCAAAAAGATTGGTGCTATTCAAATTGAGGGCATCAGGAAGCTCTCACACACATGCCATACAGGTGGTCACTCACTTTCAACTTCAGTTTAATAGAGCCTATTCAGTTTTTTAGAGCATAATATTTATGGGTCCCCAAAACGGACTTTGCCCAAAGAATAAGGACCTTTACTACTATCAAATCTGTTCTTTAGTTAAGAATGCACTCACTATTGCTTTGTAGTAACCCCTGCCCAAATATTGTTGCATTGAGAAAACAAAGGATTTAACAAGAGACCTTTGTTCATAACCTGTAGGATTTCACAATCTTGCAAAAATTAAGTACAGAAAGTCACATGTAGTGGTGCATGCCTATAGTCCCAGCTATTTGGGAGGCTGGGGTGGGTGGGAAGATCACTTGAGCTCACAAGTTCCAGGCCACCACGGGCAACACAGCAAAACCCCCATTTTTAAGTACAATGGCTGCAATCTTAGAAATAATCAGAATGCCATTTGGCATTCTCTTTATAGTGCAGACGGAAAGCTGATCGGTAAACATGCCGAAAACATGATTGAAGCTTTTGGCCAAAACTACAAACTTAAAAAAAATGATTTGCTAAAAGCAGGCATTGTTAATTAGCACTTATTTTTATGTTTTTCCCAGGATTTGTAGCCTTGTTGTTTCCAGACTTCTTTTTCTGAATGGCAAAGTTACTACTGGAAAAATACTTCAAAGAATTTTTTTTAAGAATTTTATTTTTGCTTTAAAAATTAATGCATATTTCACCTCTTGACTTTGGAGGACTTCAAGTTACCAAGACATTTTTTTAATATGATATTTGGATTAAATTCCAATTCGAACACTTGTAATTCTTTTGTCCACGAATCTCAGGAATGTTTTAGGTGGAAAGCTGGTTTTACCCTGTTGATCTGAAGGAGTGTGCTTTAGGACTTATTAAATAATACTATTCTTAATTGCAATCCTAGGTATCTATAGCATGAGTGGCCTTAGTGAGTTTGTTGAAGTGCACATGTTTTTCAAAAGTAAAATTTAAGATTAAATATATATATATGCTATATATAGATATCTAGAAAACTTGGTTTGTGGTGCACAGTTAAGTGTTGGATCATTAAATAACCGTTGCAGGTACCATTTGTGTAACATCACTCATTTCTGTATATTCCTTTTATGGAAAGATATGTTGCCATGGTAACTAAAACTTTTCAATTTAGTTTTATGATGTGAGTGAATGCTACATTTTATTAAATATTACCAGGTCAGTACTATTTTTATACTTTATTAAGCAACAGGGGATTTTAGTTTAATAGCCTCAAAATAAAAAGCTCTTAATGAACAATTAAAAACAAATCACTAACATTCTTTACATGAAAGTCCCCACTACTAGTGCCACAGTAATTTCTATAGAAATAACTAAGGTTAATAGATTTTTGAAGACAGTTCATTGTGTCAGAATGACCTTTCATATCATTCTCACTGACTTGTAGTGTCCACCATTATTTGTAATTATTAAATCATACTAAGTATGTTTGTAACCAGCATTGTGATATATTCTGTACTTGTATTGCTAAAAACGAATTATTGACCTAATAAATATAGTGTTCCTGCATTCATAGTCTGTTTCCAATTTAGTTGTGATTGCTTTTGGTTGGGACTCAGGATTATTTACATTTTGCAGACTTTTTATTACAGAACATTGTGTGAGAAACAGTTGGAACTAGAACAAAAGCACTCATATTCAAGAAAATTAAGATGTGTAGCAGAAGAGACTCGTAACAGCATCTGGAGATGGTGTTCATGAAGTCACTTTGAAAATGACTAATGAAGCGAGTTTTTTAGACTTTAAGAAAGTGACCATATCACTCTTCCCTAGTCTTCTAAAAGCCTAAAGATGGAGATAAAGAGACCTGGGAAAATTCTGCTGGAAAAGGAGAAAACTCCTAAGTTTGGAGTTTCAGTTACAGCTCTTCCTCTGCACTGTAGGAATTGTGTTATATTATTACAAACCTCTTTGTGTTTCACCTCACATGAAAGACAGGGTCAAGTTAGGTCTTTAAAAAGCACCACGAGCCGTGTACCACCTGTAATCCCAGCAGCTCAGGAGGCTGAGGCAAGAGGATCTCAAGTTCAAAACCAGCCTCAGCAGTGGCAAGGTGCTCAACAACTCAGTGAGACCCTGTCTCTAAATAAAAGACAAAGTAGGGCTGGAGATGTGGCTCAGTGGTATAGTGCCTCTGAGTTCAATCCCTGGTACCCGATCCCACTCCCCAAAAAAAGCACCATGAATAAACATAATTTTTATTTATTTATTTATTTATTTTGGTACTGGGGATTGAATTTAGGGCCCTCAACCACTAAGCCACATCCCCAGCCCTATTTTATGTTTTATTTAGAGACAGAGAGTCTCACTGAGTTGCTTAGCACCTTGCTATTGCTGAGAGTGGCTTTGAACTCATGATCCTCCTGTCTCAGCCTTCTGAGCCACTGGGATCACAGGCGTGTGCCACAGTGCCCAACCCAACATAAATTTTAATAAGCGCTGAGACAGTGGAAATGAAGCTACATTTTAAGATATTATAAAGAAAATATTTTAGGCCTGGGGATATACCTCAGTTGGTAGAGTGCTTGTCTTACGTGCACAAGGCCCTGGGTTCAATCACCAGCCCCACACACAAAAAAAAAACTTAAGACAAAATCCCACATTTGTTTGTAATAGCTCTAGCTTAATTCTGCTTCAGCAATACTAAATTCAATTTTTTTTTTCTTTTTACATCCCCCATTACTTTGAAACTCTAAACACAACTGTTTCCTCTTCCGTATGGAATGCAATTTCCTAGGTAAGGTCTTATCCATCTGTGAGCTCAAAGGCTAATGGGAGCTTTCCCTTAAAGTTTGACTTGCCATTTCTTAGTAATTTAGCATTTTACTAAAAGCTGAGTGCAGTTGCACATGCCTATAATCCCATCCAGTTTGGGAGGCTGAGACAAGAGGGTTGCAAATTTGAATCCAGCCTCATCAATTCAGTGAGACCTTGTTTCAAAGTATAAAATTAAAAAGGCTGAAGGTTTACCTCAGTGGTAGAGCACCCAGGGGTTCAGTCCCTAGTACTGGGGGATGTAAAAAGTGGAATCACTTTATTTTTGTTTAGAAAACTATGTGTAGGTAGATATTGATAGAATGAATGAGTGCACAGAAAAAAATATATATCAAGCCGGGTACAGTGGCATATGCCTAAAATCCCAACAACTTGGCAGGCTGAGGCAGGAGGATCCTAAATTCAAGGCCAGCCTTGGCATTTTAGAGAAACTGTCTCAAAAAGGAGTGGGGGGTGTCCTGGGGATGTTGATCTGTGGTAAGGCACCCTGGGATTCAATCCATAGTACCCGCCCACCAAAAAGTTTAACCCAGTTGCTATATAGTGATATAACTTGCAGTATAAAAATTATTTCCAGCTTGTAAACTTTGCTGATTTGTGCATTTAACAAAGAGCATAGAGTTTACCCTGTCACAGATACTGTTCCAAATGTGTTAGCAAACTACACCCGGATGCTTTAACACATTTATTTTATAGTTGTAAAATTCAAGACAGGGTGACAGGGTAGCTCAGTATTAAAGCACATGCTTCGCATGTGTGAGGCCCTGGAGTCAATCTCCAGGACTTCCCCAAAATTTCCTTCCTTCCTTCCTTCCTTCCTTCCTTCCTTCCTTCCTCCCTCCCTCCCTCCCTCCCTCCCTCCCAAAGTGGGGCTTGACCACATCCCATATCCCCAGCCCTTTTTTATATTTTATTTAGAGACAGGGCCTTGCTAAGTTGCCAAGGGTGGCTTTGCCCAAAATATTTTGAGATGAACATTTTTTTAGGATGGTATTCTAAAACAAATATTGTCAAGGATGTAGAGACATCATAACTCTTCTGTACTATTGGAGATGTAAAATGGGTCATATGTTATGCATCACTGTATCACACCCAGTGACACTACAGTTTCGTATGTATGAGGATCCTCAGAAGTTTTTAAATTGCTGGGCATATTGGCACGCACCTGTAATCCCAGTGATTCAGGAGACTGATGCAGGAGAATGGCAAGTATGAAGCCAACCTTAGCAACTTAGTGAGACCTTGTCTTAAAAAAAACAGGAAAAAAGGGAGGGAAGAAGGGGAATGCTGGGGATGTAGGTCAGTGGTAGAGAGCCCAGGGGTTAAAACCTAGTACTGGAATAAAAAAAAGTGTATATCCAAATTAATTAAAAGTATGCTTAAAACCCATACTTGTATACCAATGTTCATAGCAACATAATAATAACCAAAGATGGAAGCAACTCCAGTGTCAGTGGATAAACAGATAATGTGGTGTATCTTGAAAATGAAATTCAGCCTTTAAAAGAAATGTTTACATGTGCTACAATCTTAAAGACATTATGTTAAGCAAAAAAAAAGACAAACGTGAGCTGGGGTTGTAGCTCAGTGATAGAGCCCTTGCCTTGCACAAATGAGGCTCTGGGTTCGATCCTTAGTACCACATAAAAATAAATAAATAAAGATACTGTGTCCATCTACAACTAAAAAAAAAATTTTTTAAATAAGCCAGGGGCTGAGGTTGTGGAGCGCTCACCTGGCACATACGTGGCCCTGGGTTCGATCCTCAGCGTCACATAAAAATAAATAAGTGAAATAAAGGTATTGTGTCCAACTACAACTAAAAAATAAACATTTTTAAAATAAATAAATAAATAGATGCGATAAATGTATTGTGTCCAACTACAACTAAAAAATAAATATTTTTTAAATGAACCAAATACAAAAAAACCATTAAAGATTCCACTTACATGAGGTGTCTATAGAGTAGTCAAATCCATAGAAGCAGAAAGAATTGTGGTTGTAGAAGCTGGCAGGGAAGGAAAATGGGGAATGATTACTTAATGGATATTGTTTTACATGATGAAAGTTCTGGAGATTGTTTGCCTAACAATGTGAATATAACTAATACTAGTGAATTGTACACCTAAAGATGGCTAAGGCAGCTGGGTGTGATGGTGCATGCCTATAATCCCAGCACTTGCTGGCTGAGGCAAGATTGCAAGTTCAAAGCCAGCCTCAGCAAGAGCGAGGCACTAAGCAACTCGGTGAGACCCTGTCTCTATATAAAATCCAAAATAGGGCTGGGGATGTGGCTCAGTGGTTGAGTGCCCCTGAGTTCAATCCCTGGTACCAGGATAAGGGAGTAAATTTTGTGTCTACCACAGTTTCATGAAAAGACAACAAATGGCTTCCAATTTGCTTAGACAGTTAAGTCAGTCATGATACATTTAGTTTGATAGTGGTTTTTAATTTTTTTCCCCATTACTGGGGATTTAACTTAGTGGGGTAATTTACCATTGAACTACATCCTAAAACATTGGGGGGTTTTTTGTTTTGTTTTGTTTTTTGAAACAGAGTCTCACTAAATTGCTGAGACGGGCCTTGAACTTGCAGTCTTCCTGCCTCAGCCTCCCAAGTCTCTGGGATTATAGTTGTACACAACCACACCCAACAATACATATAGTTTGGTGAGGGGTGGGGTTGGGGGGACTATGATCACTTCCAGACAGTGCCCTGATAAATCTCTAGAGTGATTTCTTAATTAGAGCTTTGATATAAACTGTCAAAGTTGCTTTGCATTTAAATTATTTCTTAACCTAACATCAAGCTATTTTTAACTCATTTCTGCATATGTAGTTTATTTTTCCTTCCTGGTACTGGCTGCGACAGTTACTGGACCCATATTCTGCATCTGCTATATTGGTATCAGTAAATCAAAACTCTTTACACAAGAGGGAGAAAAAAGTGAAATTGGTCATTAAAAAACTACCTTTATGGGCTGGTGCAGTAGCTCGTACTTAACCATTTTTGTAGCATGTCAGAGGCCCTGGGTTCAATCCCCAGTACCACAAAAACAAAACATATGGGCTGGGGCTGGGGCTCAGTGGTAGAGCACTTGCCTAGCATGTGTGAGGCACTGGGTTTGATCCTCAGCACCACCTAAAATAAATAAAAGTTTGGGGTTCATCTACACCTAAAAAAGTTGTTCATTTGTTTGTTGATTTTAATAAAAAAGGACTTTTAGTTTTTTTGGTTTTGTTTTTTTTTTTTTGGGGGGGGGGATTTTTTAACCCAGGTCCTTGTGCATGCAAGGCAAGCACTTTACCAACTGAGCTCTATCCCCAGCCCAACCTTTTTTTTTTTTTACTGTAATGAATTTAGTACTTATTTGATCATTCAAATCAATGCATTCAGCTTTTAGAAATATGATTTACCTAGCTAAAGGTAGCTTTTATCAGAAGGAGGCTGTAGAGAGGGAGGCAGGGTATTTACAATGAAATTGAGGGCTTCAGAGTCCAGAAGAAGTGCCTTTTATCATAAGTGGAACCTGTGGCAAATATTCCTTTTCTGAATCTGGCTCCTCATCTGTCAACTGAGGTATACACGACCTGTCTTGGGTAATTATGAAGGTCAATTAAAATTAATGCAATGCTGAGATCAGTACTAGGCCCATTATAGACATTGAAAATGTTTGTTATTTTCTTGCATGAGGGAAAAGTATACTCAAAACTTCAGTTTCACTAAACACAGAA